GTCAAAGGTCCTGCTCGACCATTGTTGGCTTCTCTTGGAAGCATGGAGGAAATGATTCCTCTGTGTTGACCCTCCTCTTTATAGACTGGACACTGGTTCAAGTCCCTCTGGTGGAGTCTCCTTGGCCTCCTTGATCAGGAGGTCAGATGACCCACCACGATTACAGGGCATTTTGAGATATGCTCATAGTCTCTGGGAACTAATTGACCTAGAAGGGCAAGGAGCAAAAATTGTCCTTTGTGTCCCTCTGACCCAATTAGTATAGACCTCAAAGTGTGTCTGTTAAATACCCAAGAAGGTTAGTTCTACCAGTCTGGTATTTTTAATTACTGTGTGTCATAAAGATATATCTTGGGCAAAGACCAGTTGTTCTCAGATAAACCTTACCTAGACATATATTTCTTGATCTGCTATGTATAATCTGTCAGTAGGTTGTAGGAGTAATATGGTTCTCTCTGGTTTTCAAAACTAGCTAGGCATTGTTTCTCTCTCACATTGTCTCACCCCTCCATCATGGTTTTCCACTTAAGATACCCCCATTTCCCCCCTTTCTCCCTTACTGATACCCTTCTCCTATGGTCCTACCTCTTGAGCTCCTTCTTTCCCTTTATCCCCTAGGTTCCTTGTATACCCTTCCCTCCCCCCTCCCTTAAACTAACCCAATTTTTATCCATATCTCCCTTATTAAGGCCTGTTTCCTACTGTTCTTCTCTTTCAGGTTCCTTCTTTTCCTTTACCTCCCTGGTTCCTTTCCATTATCCTAGTTCCTGTAGTTATGTCTGGTTCTAGGAGCCACATATGAGGGAGAACATATGTCGTTTTTTGTTTTTTTTTTTCTGAGTCTGTGTTACTTTGCTTAGTATAACAGTTTCTAGTTCCATCCATTTACTTGCAAATTTCATCTTTCTTTACTGCTGAGTAAAACTCCATCGTATAAATGAACAACATTTTCATTATCCCCTCATCAATTGAGGGACACTTAGGTTGCTTCCATCTCTTAGCTATTGTGAAAAGAGCAGCAACAAACATGGATGTACAAGT